CACAAATTCGAACATCTGGGTTGTGCTGTTCTGTTGTAAATAAATCTTAACCAATGATTCCTAATTGCATCTACTTCCGGAAGGCCAAATAAAGTGCTTTTGCTTCCGCACTGAAACAAACACCGTCCTCCTGACATGGCTGCATCAACATTACTGCTGTTCCTGAAACCACGCCTTCTTTCTTTGAGTGCACATTTGGGCGGCATTATGCTAATATTTCCACAGTGACGTAGACGTGGGGGCGTGTTAGAACGAGCCGTTTTAGGTAGGCGTGGCTGACTCTTAACTTTCATAAAGAATATCTCTTTGGATTTGAGACTTTAGTCTTTGAAACTTTACAGATCTTCTTTATGCACCAAGAGCTTGTAACACTCCAAAGAGAAAGGAAAACTTGAAATCGCATCATATGACCCCTTTAAGCTCTTACTCATAAGCTCTTACTCCTTAGAGGATAGAAATCTCAAATGTTGGTTTCAAGTAATTAATAAATTTACTATATATATATATATATATATATATATATAAATAAAAGTTCAACATAAAATATTTGATACTTCTTAAAGCGGAATGCTGTTCACACTACAATGCGGGGGGAAAAGTGTCACAGTTTTAATTAAGGGTCAGTTTTTACGGAGGAGAAAATCACTTCATAGCAGGGTGACAACTACACACAACAGTTTTAATGAGTAAAATAAATTAATCTTAAAAAAATTGCTTTTTTCTACGATTTATGTCAGTTTTTATATATTTTTTATATAATTCACAATTTTAATTGATGGATATAGTCGAAAAGGTGGGACAGAAATACGGCATTTGTGCATTTAATGTTTCAAAAATAAAACCAAAGTGTAACATTATTTGTGAAATGTTTCAGCACTGTTTCAGTCCTACCTGTGGTACCTGTTCAATATCCCTGAGGAAAATGGGCTGATTCCTGGACACCGAAGTGGACCGATGATAATCCACTAAAGAGTTTAACGAGTTAAATTTGACCACCCACAAGAAGTATTTTCCTGCTCCATCCCGTAAGACTTTGAAGTGCTGGACATCATTCCCAAATCTACAGGAAAGGGGAAAAAACACAGTGTTTAGAAAATTACATAATAGCCGGCTGCATTTATAAGACTTGGATAGTGCAGTTATAGTAAAGAACTCTGCACTGTTCAGTTTATCATGAACCCTAAGGTTTGCAGCTATCTGTGGAGAACTATTTGAATGATTCACACAGTGTTGGCCTAGTTTAGAAACCACACAAAAAGAATTTGCAATAACACAAATAAAGTGCTGAGAACGGCCATATTTTGTGCTGCATTGCATCAATTATTCATTGACATGCCCCTATTTACAAGAACAGATTCAATTACTGCATCAAAATTTCAAAAGCAGCAGCCTGTATTAGTGTTCATTACTAGAACAGTCACATACAAACTGGCAAAACATTAGAATAGAATAGAATAGAATAGAATAGAATGACAAATACATACTTGACAGACAGCGAGAAGTCTCCAGGTGCACTCTCACTCTCTCTAATGAGAAAAGCTCCATCATGTCTCTGTTTATTTAACATTTCTTCTGCCTTTGCACGGGGAATCTTCCCATAAAACCAGCTGCGTATTCAGAACAAATCCAAAAGCAGTAGTTTAGATACTGTGTAGAATGCACTGAGTACATTCGAATTTTGAGAATGCAAAGCAGCTATGAGACTGGGAAACTTGTGTAATATAATGTAATAATAATATTTTTGCTTGAGGCGTTGAAAACAAACCTCACTCGTTCTTGCAGAAGCTCTTGTTTGACAAGTGAGAACAAACCTCACTGTTCAAGCAAGTATGGATGAGCTACTGGAAAAAACTCGATTACATCTGTTCATTATATAAAATGACTGCCTTTTCAGACGACTTGTATTAAAAATCTTGATTCACACAGATTACTTTAATGATGGATTTATGAATTTTTTGAAGATTCAGTGTTTAGTTTTTTCATTTGTCTTTTAAAAATTAGCAAAAGTCTTATGGTTTTGGAGTGACAGGAGAGTAATTGATAATTATAATTTTTTTCTTTTAATATAAATATAGTTTTTGTTTACATAATATATGTGTGTACTGTGTATATTTATTATGTATATATATAAATACACTTGCATGTATATATTTAAGAAAAAATGTTATGTTTATATAATAAATATATTTATATATGATATAATTTAAATGAATATAAATATATACATGTAAATACATGTACATATTTTCAAAATATATGCTGTATGTGTGTCTTTATATATATACACAGTACACACACATACAGTATATTATGTAAACAAAAAAAATTATTTTGGATGCGATTAATCGCATAGAAAATCTTTGGCGGGAGTTGAAAATCCGTGTTGCCCAGTGACAGCCCCAAAACATTACTGCTCTTGAGGAATGGGCCAAAATACCAGCAACTGTGTGTGAAAACCTTGTGAAGACTTACAGAAAATGTTTGACCTCTGTCATTGCCAACAAAGGGTATATAACAAAGTATTGAGATGAAATTTTGTTATTGACCAAATACTTATTTTCCACCATAATTTGCAAATAAATTCTTTAAAAATCCTACAATGTGATTTTCTGGATTTTTTTTCTCATTTTGTCTCTCATAGTTGAGGTATACCTATGATGAAAATTACAGGCCTCTCTCATCTTTTTAAGTGGGAGAACTTGCACAATTGGTGGCTGACTAAATACTTTTTTCCCCCACTGTATATATAGTCTTTTTGTAACTAAAATAGCAAATACTTACGGATGTGGCTTCATTTCTATGTAATTTTTAGGAATGAATCCTTCTTTTCCATTGAGTTCTGCCTTGTACCAGTTCTGGTCACATTCTTCATTTAAAATCTGATGGGAAAACAAAAGACACTTTAATACTTGACCAGCATAGTGTCAATACACAGTGTTCACACAGTAAACCTCCAATCAGCCCACTTATCTCAGAACACAGAGGACCTAAAGAGCCAATCGTATCACTGGCTGTGGTGTTTAATACTCAAGGCCTTGCTCTATAAATAGCATACAGGAAATATCCTTCATTTCAACTTTAAGCCACACATAACATCCTGTATACATAAGACTTCTCTGGCACTAATGAGAAATACATTGCGCACAGTCTGTTTAGTGGAATTGCAAAACTGAACCAGATGGATTGCGCAAAAACATGTGGGCAATTAGCATCGGTCCTGATGGCCAGGATTTGATGTCTCTTTCATAACTGAAGAACAATGCTGTACCCACAATGATACCATCTGTGGTAATGATGACCATCACCATCAAATATGAAATGAAGAAAGGATTACATTACTGCACTGTGTTCCATCTCAGAGGTGAAGGGCCGAAACCGATGAAGTGGACAAATATGAAAAAGCATCACTTTATGTGATTACTTTAGACTCAAAGACACTCTCTCAGTCTTGCTTAAGTCAAGTATGTTATGACACATCCATCTAAGATAAATGGGAATCCTATCCTATAGCCTGGAACATTTTCAAAACTCTGAAAGATGGTCTCCCCATCCCTTTTCTCTTTGTAAACAACCATTAATCTGCTCTCCCTCCCACCGCGCCATGGTGCCTCTTTTCTCTTATGTGTGTGTGAGTGACATTATAAACAAGCCAAGATGTCAAATTCCAATTATAAAAAAGTGATAAAGTAGGTCTTGATAACTTCTGGATGGGAGAAATGAATAGAGCTAATCTTAGTTCAAAAGACATTAGGCTATATATATATATATATATACACACACACACACACACATACAGTACATGTACATCTAAAAAAATTAGAACATCATGAAAAAGGTCAATATTTTTTGTCACTCTTTTCAGAAAGTGAAATTATACATATTTCACATACAGTGGGGAAAAAAAGTATTTAGTCAGCCACCAATTGTGCAAGTTCTCCCACTTAAAAAGATGAGAGAGGCCTGTAATTTTCATCATAGGTATACCTCAACTATGAGAGACAAAATGAGAAAAAAAATCCAGAAAATCACATTGTAGGATTTTTAAAGAATTAATTGGGAAAATTACAGGCCTCTCTCATCTTTTTAAGTGGGAGAACTTGCGCAATTGGTGGCTGACTAAATACTTTTTTTCCCCACTGTATATTATACAGATTCATTACACAGAGTGAAATATTTCAAGCCTTTATTTCTTGAAATTTTGATGATTATGGTTTACAGATAATGAAATCCCAAAATTCAGTGTCTCAGAAAATTTGAATATTGTGAAGAAGTTAAATATGGGAAAGTCATGGTGTCACACCCTAATCAGCTAATTAGAAAGTTGAGTGGAAGGAAAAAGTGTAGTAGGAAAAGGTGCACCAGCAAGAATTTGGGGAAGCTTCACAAGGAGTGGACTGAGGCTGGCGTCAGCGCATCAAGAGCCACTACGCACAGACAAATCCTAGACATGGGCTACAAATGTCGCATTTCTCGTATCAAGCCACTCCTGAACCAGAGTCAACGTCAGAAATGTCTTACCTGGGTTGTGGAGAAAAAGAACTGGACTGTTGCTCAGGTGGTCCAAAGTCCTCTTTTCAGATTAAAGTAAATTTTGCATTTCACTTGGAAATCAAGGTCCCAGAGTCTGGAGGAAGAGTGGAGAGGCACAGAAACCATATTGCTTGAAGTCCAGTGTGAAGTTTCCACAGTCAGTAGGCGCGTTTCCATTACAGATTTGTGCAAAATTTTGGCAATATTTTTTAAATGTCGATAAAAAAAGTATTGCGAAATGACGGCGTTTCCATTAACCAATGTTATGAGACTTAAACGTAACCTTTTGCCTCTTGCGATAAGTCATGGCAATGGATTTTGGTGGGATTTTGGCTATATTTATTCAAAGGAGGCTTATTCGTGTATCTTTACAGAAGCAGCAAAGAGAGCCGCTTCAGAAACGTGAGTGGCGCGGCTGGAATAAACCATAGACTGTATAAAAACAAACACAAGCATTGAGTGGCCGTAATCAGCTTCAGAGACCGAATCAGAGCCACACTGCACCGCAGACGTGTGCAGTGTAAATTGTCTAAGCATTAATAGTAGGGAAAGCCCCTTATAATGGAGCGCGGTCATTTATGAAGTGTTTCTTGGAGGTTATAGTACATTGAAGAATGATCATATGACTTTTTACATACGCCATGTGACCTGTAAATGCGAAAAAGTCGTTTCCATTGCAGTTTTGCGAATTTTTCCTTTTTCGCATTGCCTGAAAATCCACCTCATGCGAGTGTAAAAACTTTTTTTGCGATATATGGACGTTTTTGCGAAATTGAAGCGTTTCCATTAGGAGTATTTCAATTTGCTCAATTTGAAGGGTAATGGAAACGCGCCTACTGATGATTTGGGCTGCCATGTCATCTGCTGGTGTTGCTCCACTGTGTTTTCTGAAGTCCACAGTCAAAGCAGCCATCTACCAGGAAATTTTAGAGCACTTCATGCTTCCTTCTGCTGACAAGCTTTATGGAGATGCTGATTTCATTTTCCAGCAGGACTTGGCACCTGCCCACACTGCCAAAGGTACCAAAAGCTGGTTCAATGACCATGGTGTTACTGTGCTTGATTGGCCAGCAAACTCACCTGACCTGAACCCCATAGAGAATCTATGGGGTATTGTCAAAAGGAAGATGAGAGACACCAGACCCAACAATGCAGATGACCTGAAGGCCGCTATCAAAGCAACCTGGGCTTCCATAACACCTGAGCAGTGCCACAGGCTGATTGCCTCCATGCCACGCCGCATTGATCCAGTAATTCATGCAAAAGGAGGCCCAACCAAGTATTGAGTGCATAGAAATGAACATACTTTTCAGAAGCCTGACATTTCTGTTTAAAATATCCTTTTTTATTGATCTTATGTAATATTCTAATTTTCTGAGACATTGAATTTTGGGTTTTCATTATCTGTAAGCCATAATCATCAAAATTTCAAGAAATAAAGGCTTGAAATATTTCACTATATGTGTAATGTATCTATATAATATATGGGTTTCACTTTCTGAAATGAGTGACAAAAAATATTGACCTTTTTCCATGATATTCTAATTTTTTTTAAATGTACCTGTATATTTTATGTATGAAGAGTCTATTTGCAAAAACCAATAAACGCCACTTAAAAAAAAAGAGGAACTGATTGCAGTGCATTATTCTCCACATATAGCGCGATCTGAACTCTAAACACGTTGTCAAAAAAGCCGATATAGTCCACTTTCAAGGTATCGTGAGTTCACGTTTTACTGCAGAAGCGAGATGGTCCTCACTGCAGAACACAAGATCCAGGGGGCGTGGCTGAATCCAGATCCAACTCCTCCCACCTTACATATACCTAAACCCACCCGTCTTCCACCCCGATCCCTAAACCCACCCATCTCCATCCCTAAACCTACCAATCTCAAGTCTGTTTTTACTTTGAAAAGACGTGCTAGCTGAGAGGAGTTTCGTCAAAGCTGACTAAACGTGATCGAGGATGGACTATTTCGACGAACTTGATGAACCTGTGATATCTTCTTCAAGGCGGAAAGGAAAATAAAAGCTGAAACTTTTTCACGGAACCTTGCAAAAGCAGCGCTTTACAACGGTGAGGGAAAAGCTCTGTGTATTGCGTGTAGTAATCACATCCATACAGTCTATGATCACAACAACAACTTTTGTCAGGCATCTACATTGCCATCTGAAGAGATTACAAAGATTAAACGAGTGTTTTTTTTTTACTCTAAAACATGAAATGTGGAGTTATCTGCTTTTGTCAAAAAACGACTGTTGGAGTTATCTGCTCTTGCTATAAAACAGAATTTTCATATGTAAAAAAAAAAAATATATATATTTTCAATGAACTTTAATTCTGTAAATTACCTGTATTTAAGTTATTATTACTTAATCAAAACAACCCAACTTCAGTTTGATTGATCCTATTACTTGGAATGCACAATAAAAAAAACTTGATCTCTGAAAATAAATAAAAATGGAGTTATCGGTTTTTGCAAATGAACTCATATAATGAATTTTTTTTTTACTCTAAAACATGAAATGTGGAGTTATCTGCTTTTGTCAAAAAACGACTGTTGGAGTTATCTGCTCTTGCTATAAAACAGAATTTTCATATGTAAAAATAATGAATTTATAAATATATATATATATATATATATATATACATTTTTTTTATCCACTCCCACTCTATGCAGTAACAAACAGAGAGAGAAAAATATTGTTTTATTATTTCCCCCCCCCTCGTCATCTTGGTGAATAGAAAGCAATCTGAGTTTTAGGAAATCTCTGTGGGCGCAGTGAAGAATTTGCATATGCAAAATTTGCCCCAATTTTGTGTCTTTCCAGTAAAACCCCTTGCAGTGGTTGGATGAAAACTGGTATTAAACATAAAACACAGGATCAGAGCTTTGTTCAAGAAAAAAAAAGTAATACAGCAGATAGATACCTGAATGCGATGCCAAAACCAAGTCCAAATTCTAAACCCAGTTTTGTGTTTCAGATGTCAGCCAGCCCCAATCCACAACCACTAAATCCCTATTCAGAGGAAATCATACTAGCAGCAGCCTGCTTGCCCACAGCAAAGCACTGTTGCTAGGCAGAAAGCACTCAGCAACAGTAAGAAAGTGGGAACAAGGTTCAAACCATAGTAAAATACTGAAACACTTTAGATATTGATGGCGCATTTTTGCCCATGAGTACAATAAGTTGACCTAATTAGGTCCAACACGATAAAGTAACAAAAAATAAAAGCTATTTCTGCCATGTTACAGGCAAAACATTTTGGTTACCACTGACATCTGGGTCACTCTGTCAAAGCAACCAAATTTCAGAAACTTCCCTGGCTCAAATTTTTTGTTTGTTT